CGCCTACGCGGGACGGCAGCCCAGCCAGCTGCTCGTCGGCCATGAAGTTCTCTCTGCAGAAAAGGTCTCCCAAGCAGCAACCCCCCCCTTTTTTTTTTTTCCTTTTTTCCTTTTTTTTTTTAAACAACAATTGCTCTCACCCCTCTTTTTTGGTAGACACACAGACATACACACACTATATGTACACAATTTGGAACCGAGGGCCTACGCAACGAAAAGGAAGCCAGCACCGCTCAGAGATGGTGCACACATTCAGCAGCTGTCAAAGGAGAAGTCGTTTTACTTTCTTTTAAACTTGCAACGTTTGTCTTTATTTTGTTCTTTATATTTTGAAAGTGAAAAGAAATAGTATTGAGTCAATTTCTTTTTTTCTTTTTTTTTTTTTTTTTTTTTTTTTTTTAAATATTTGTTCTATGTATTTACAAGCCTTAAAGTTGCTCTAAAGGTTCTGAAAGTATCACTAGTACTTTTTCCCCAGGGTAGCACTGTTTTGAATGAGTTATTTTCAGAGCACTCTGGTCCGCAGCGGTTTTCTCAAATGCATTTCCTTCCGTTCCAAGGTTATGTACGTTTGGATTACTATTTTCTTTTTAAATTTCTGAAGCAAGCTGAGAGGCAGGCAGAAAAATCTGATGACAATTAAAAAAAAAAATAAAATTGATCTCTTCCTCATCTAGCTTACCCCAACCCCCTTGAAAGTTTTGTCTATTTATCATGCTTTGAAACAAAACTGAGGTGCATATGAAGGGGAGGGAAATTTATTTCTCTGCTTTTGTTCTATGATACAATTTGTTTACAGAAACTGCAAATTTAAAAATTACACTGGCATTTGCAGTCCTTAAAATAATAAATTAAAAGTTTTCAACTTTTTTTTTTTTTTTGCTAAACAGATTTGTTTCGCTTTGTGTTTTTGTAAGTATGAGTCCTTGTTTAAAAAGAAAAGAAAAAAAAAAGATTAAAACAGAAAATATTTTCTATAAATAATACATGTATTTTGGTTTAGTGCTCCCGCCCTCAGGTTTGAAGTTTACTTTTTTTTTTTCAAGTACCTTTTTTTCCTTGTGATCACCTTTGTGTTTATCTATTTTTACCTCTCCCACTCGTGCATGTGTGGGGGAAGGGGGGGGTCTGCGCGAGAATTGGCCTTGCTGCACTGTGATTGGCGAAGACGTGAAACTTTTTAAAAAAATACTTAAACTGTTTCTTTTTTTTGTTTGTTTGTTTTTGTTTTTTTTTTTCCTCCTCTGTATTTTAAGTTTTAATTATCCTCCGACTCCTCTTCGGCCTCCCGTAGCCACGTGAAGAACGCCGTGACAGATTTCAGCGCTACTCCTTTCCCGTTCTGCTCCGCTGGGTCCTTGCTGCTCTCCCACTTGTAGAAGGCATCCTCTGATATCACCTCCTCGTCATACAGGCAATCAAAAAACATCCGCAACAAATCTGTGATAACGGAGGAAGGGGAGAGAACAGCTGTCAGTGCTGCACCGCCGAAGGCAGCGGACAAAGCCGCGGTTACGGCTAAGGGGATTAGCGCGACCTTTATGGCAAGAGGCAGACCCAAGCAAGAGGAAGGCCCGGTACTGAGTTACTGCTTCCTGGCAAGCGAGAGGGAAAGCGGGTCCCTCCGATGCCGTCGGGTAGCCCTTGCTCTGCAGAAAAGGGAAAGCTGGGAAAGCAGCCGTGGGAACGTATTATCTAGGGATCAGCCGGCCGGCGGAATCCACAGCAGCCCGTCCTCC